TGTCATCTTAAAATCTCAGTGGAGCCAGACAGAAGAGAAGACTTCATTATGTTCCCCAAACATCTGGCCTTCTCAAATATGTCATTAGACGTTGGCCAGGTGTGAGGCATTAGAGTGGATTGCTATGGTATTACAAGAAGGAAAGAAACACATCCCTCTGGAGAAGAGCAGGTCTATGGAGACTCTCTCTGCTCTCATCCCTGCACCTTTGTATTCACAACCCCCTTTGCACACAGAAGAGCCATCCCCTGACTCTGATGATTTCCAATTACTGTTTTTCTTTTCTACAGGAAGGGATCAGAAAATAATTCCCGAAACTAAGCTCATTCACAGTGCGCTGCAAACACACCGGCCATTTGCCCACCCTCTCTGCTTACCTGTTTTGAAACATGTCTCCCCTATTCTGCAGAACTCAAATCATTCAGACAGAAACCTGTGAATTTTTCCTAGTCCTAAGTTGTAGGCTACTTTGCAACAGATCTGTATGTGTGTAAGGCCCGTTGACTGAGTGTCATATTCTCTATACATCCATAAGAATGTATTTTAGTAGTAAGTCATTATCTGCTACTGAAAACATTAGGAACAACTTTTTATATCTAAAGCTACATAGTTTGTTCTTAGTGGTTTACGTGTCAACTGTGAAAACCCAAATGGATATCTACAGACCATTTTTCCTGGAGATATCACAACACTTCATCATGATCCTATAAAATGCCTAGCTATCCTGGGAAGTGTTCGTCAGGTCTTCTAGAATGCTGCCTGTGGGGAATTCATGGATAATTGTAATGCTGCAGAGCAAATTAGTCCAGAGGCCTTCAGCTTTTCACTAATCTAGAGATTAGAAAAGCTGGGAATCTTTAAACCACATGTAGAATCTTGTGCATTCTTCAACCCCTGTAGCTACTTTTGGGCTGAGGACTTACTTATGTGTAGTTGTGGGTTTTCAAGAGAAAATGAGCTACTGAGGGACTCCCAGGAAGGTGCCAATAGGCTGGATGCTTGCACCAAGGGAATTGGGTAACAGTATTCAAAGTTCTCTCTTCCCACCTCACTAACAGACTTTTTTTTTTTTTTTTTTTTTTTTTGGTTTTTCGAGACAGGTTTTCTCTGTATTGTTTTGGAGGCTGTCCTGGAACTCACTCTATAGATCAGGCTGGCCTTGAACTCACAGAGATCCACCTGCCTTTGCCTCCCGTGTGCTGGGATAAAAGGCGTGTGCCACTAATGCCCAGCAGTAACAGATTATTTTAAACAAACATTTACCACCATATCTCTGCCTTCAACCCCCCATTGTCCAACTATAATTTTATGCAGTAGTCCCATTCCTGTACTTTGATCTTTATACTTTTTTGTAATTTTCCCTTCATTATATTTTTTTCAGAGATTCCTTATCTTTTGGGGAACACATCAATGTTAATGGTTGCTAGTCTCACACATGGTAAAGGATTTACACATTCACTTACTCTTACTTCTTTCTATGATTTCTAGGAATTGACTGCATATACTCAGACTGTCATTTTCTGACTCTGGTTTTCAAACCCAGGTTCTTGGTCAGGTTAGGTACACATTCCACCATTAAGATGCATTCCTCTCTTAGAGTTACCAGTTAAAACCTAATTGTGAATATTATTCTTAACTTTCAATCATCTGTTTGTTGGAAGATTCTTTTCCTAAACTAATACTTTGTTTATTTATTCTAATTATGTAAGTCCATAATTTAAGGTGTATATTTCAGAAATGCATCAGTCTCTTGGGAACACAGCTGTCCAGTGAGCTCAGTCTTCAAGTATAACACCATTGGAATGTCAAAAGAAACATCGTTGTAACCTTTACTTGCTTTTCTTCCATTCTCAACTAACCAACAATGTTTCCCCCTCAAAATGCTGTTCATGATGTTCACATTGCTTTGGATGTTCCTCTTTAGGAAAAATCCTTGACTTTGAGTAAAGTTCAATGTCTTTTTAAACAGAGAAAACACTTGGGTCCACCCAGCAGATGCAGATTTCAAACTTGCAAACTCTCCAGATCTTTTAAAACTTCAGAAACAATACCTAGAGTTGAAATGTTTAAATGTCATTGTAAGCAGATAAGCAAAGACAATGGCAGACCATGAAAGCTGGTGAGCTGAGAGCCTGGAGACAAAAGCCCTGCTTGCCATGGAGGGCAGTCCTAGAGACTGAAAGAGCACAGGCAACATTTAAAGTTAGAATTTGCTGTTTTTTTTCTGATGCTGAATTGCAACACTATATAAAAGGTTGGGAGATGAATGAATCCCTCTTCTTTAAAAGGAGAACTCTTACAGGTGTACCATTAGAAAGATTTGCTTCAAAACACTTACACAAAGTCAAAATTCCTTTTACAATGTTTCCAGACTTCGAGAACTATATAGTTGGGATCAAATAAGTATATTCTGGCATTGAAAGCATTTATAAATACATTCCACTTTACCAAGTGCATAAAAATTGGTCTCCTGGTTATACATATTCTTGTTGCTCACATAAAGCCTAAATTCTCTCTGGCTTTAGACAAAAGTCATCTGAGGCATGTGCCTTTAGGAATTTGCACTATGGCTACACTTAGATCAAAGATGAGCTCTGTGATGCCCACTGTGTGTTTTTTAATGATCCTATTGATGTTATAATATTAAAATTTTAGGTTTCAATGTCTGTAATCTTTACCAAAAAGGTTAAGTATTTTTATTAGCATTATCTTTCCCTAGAAAACAGGTAGGGATGAAAATGAATGTTCTTAGTGTATGAGGAAGAAAACAGCCCCTGCTTAGGTGATGTTTCCATTGATAAATCATCACTCCTTTGGAATTATTGAAATGACTGATGTCCTAAATTAGGAAAATACCTCAGTACATTGTTTCTTACATGTCAACAAACTTCAAAATTTATTAGAATCTAATTTATACTCAGTTTAACACACCTACTTTTTGTGTAAAGTTATATTCATTTTGACTTATTTGAAACTGTCATAACTATTATTTCACTCAAGATATAGAGCTCTGTCCTATCACACCCTTTCCTACACAACTTTGCAGTCAGTGATACCCAAAGACCTTCTTAGGTAACTGATGACTTGACTTCTGTCCCTATGGATTAGCGTTTCCTGGTCTAGAACTGGTCTATTTAAAGGAAATCACCTGGTGTGTGTGTGTGTGTAGCTACATCATATGAATGTGGTTGATTCTTCTGATTGTTCAACCTTGGTCAATTGTTTATATTTACTCACTTGCATCATTGTTCATGTGGGCAACTTCTAGTTTAAACTATTGTCACTGAAACTAACACATGAAGTGTACATTTGTGGATACTTTACATTAAGTGTATGTTAAATGTCTGTTCCACTTTACAGTAAAATAACAAATTTCCTTCCACAGTGCTTACTCAGTTTCTCGGTCCAGAGCTAACGAGGCTGAGCTTCATTGGCTCACTGTCTAACCAGCACTAGACATTATCAGTCCATTTAATTTTGGTCTTTCTAGTGGCTCTATCCATAGTGGTATCTCACTGTGGTTCAATTGTCATTTCTGTGACAATGATGTTGAGTATATGTTCACGTACTTTGCTTGCTTCCATACTCCTATTTTGATCATTTTTAGGTGGCTGTTAGGTTTGTATGCTATAAATTCTTATATATAGTTGATGTCATTTTGTGTCAGAAATAAGTATTTTTTCAGAGAATTGACTTTTCATTGATTTCTAATGATGTTTTAATGGAAATAGAGTCTTTTATAGAGGCAATCAAGTAAACAAATAAACAAGAAGAGATAATTACTATGATCCCTATAGGATGTGGCTTGTTTCCTTTTGAAATGGGAAGTTTGCACTCACTCATAATGAGAATGCTACTGAGGATAAAGGCAGAAATCAGAGTGACACATTTACAAAACAAGACATCCTGAGAATGATAGAAAACCACCAGAAGCTAGAAAAGGAAAGGTGGAAGGAATAAACCAAGGAAATGAATCAACCTGGACACACCTTGACCTTTGACACACTGTCTCTAACAGCATAAAGAAATACATTTCCATTTAATTCATGAAGTTTTTCACATTTGACAAAGACAGCCCTGGGAAACTCAAGCAAGTCTTTCATTTTTCTCTCCTTTCCAGAGAGGGCTTTTGTGTCTAGGGATCTCTGCCTTTCTCAAGGTTATAAAGATTTACTTCCCTGCTTTCTTTTAGATGTACATTATTTTTACATTACATGCAGGCATATGTGTATTTTCCTATTCACTGGTTTCACGTTTGGGTTTTCCAATGCCTGAGGGAGCACTTTATTCTTGTATATTCTCTAGAATCAAATCACAGTTTCTGGCAACAGTGTAATATATGAGATGGCTCTGTGCCCATCCTTGAAAGTTCAAGTTGGAGCAAGTTTTATTTCCAAGGAGACAAGGACCCACATCCTTTTGATTTCCTTCCTACCAAGTTAGAGATGATAGCAACTGATTTCTTAATACCAATTACTGAGTATCCAGCAAGGTCATGCCTACTGTAATCCCCTACTCATAATTTCTCTCTTCCTCTCAGGGTAAACTCTGTATGTTCAGATTCAATGGGTATGGTTCTGCATAAGTGTCCTGAAAGTACTGAAGCAGAAAGCCTTTTCTATTTCATGTATAGCAATGACAAAGTTCCCAAGGGCATGATATCAACTTCACCCTCCACTACAAGAAATGACACAACCATCTCCACACAAGTCACTATCATTAACAAAAGCTACTCATCTACTCTTCCTTTCAGTTTGGAGTCAAAGGCTTTATAAGGCATGGAAAGATTAAGAAAATAATTTCAGTAAATGTCTTCTACAAATTATTTTCCTGGAATGTGGTACCCAGCAGCAGATACATAGAATTGATTGCTTTTGAGATGCTGCTTTACTGCATTCACATACAAGGTTATTTTTTGACTGCTGATGTTACTTTTGCATGAGAACCAAGTTCTCTTAATACGCACTTTAAAAACTCAGCATGGTAAATGAATACCTTACCCTTGACTGACAGGTGTCTCCATGTTACCGTTGGTTCTGGTCTGCCAATTGCAAGACATAACAGAGTCACACTGCTTCCTTCATTCACAGTAATGTCTGAAGAGATGTTCATTATCTGGGGAGGAACTATAAAGAAATACAAGAGATTAGAAAAATCTGAAAATGTTTCCTTGCACCTAAAAAGAGTTTTCGGCATATAAATATGCATATATCATATTGTGTATTTGTACATGAATATGATTTTAATGTCACTTTGCTCATCTTGGCAAAGATCTTGCCAATGACACCATTTACAAGAAGTATCTAATAGAAAAACTCATTGTTGTGCCTTGTTGGGGTAGCTGGTTGGTGTAGGTATGGTGGTGGCACTGGCAGAAGATCTGAAGACAAGGGTAAAATTACTTACTCAATTGGAGCCAAAGTAAAAGATAAAACACGAAGACCTGCATGTATCCTTCTCTATCCTGAGGCTCCTTTCTTGTTTGCACAGATGACAGGAGGTTCCCAGTCACAGATTATATGTAATACCTTACTCCAAAAGTCAAACACATTGGCTAATTACCATGTCCCAAGCATTCAGATTCTCTCTAAAACTTTGAAGTTGAACACAATTTATCTTCCCTTAATTCTTTTCCATTTTTAACATTTATTTTATTACATTGTTGTTGTTTAATGGTTGTTTATTTTAAGTTTATATAAATCCAACTCCATAAGTCCACAGAACTTTTAGTAAGTATACTAAAAGTAGTATAGGACAGTGAGAATAAAATTGAGTCATTGAGCATGCAATTCATACAAACAAAACATATTCACAAAAATTAGGTAACCTCTAAAACCAGAACGTTTCCATTGATCAATATAACCTTCAAAAGCCATTCAAATTTTGCTGTCTTTCTCTTAATTTCATTTTTTGGTTGGAGAACATGCACAGATTTAATGTGTTTTGATGAAACATAAACCCCACTCAATCCTCTATAATTTCCCTCCTTCTTCCCCACTACTTTCCCTTGTAACTTCATGTACTCTCTTTCTCTGTCTTTTAAAAACCTACCAAGTCCATTTAGTACTGTCTGTAGATGAGTATAGGATCATCTACTGGAACATGGACAGCAATTTAAAGACTACATCCTTGAATCAATCATATTCTCCCTCCCTTAGCAGTTATCAATACCCAGTATCTTCTGAACCAGTGATAGAACTTCAGCGGATTTCAGTTCAGATGTACAAGTGTCCTGTTGTGCATGGAAAACTGTTTGCCTATAGTTGTTCACCACCTTTCTCTCTTACAGTATATTCATGCTGTTTTTTTATGATAGTGCTTGAGCCTTGGAAGGCAGATTATGACATAAATATCTCATTTAGAGTTGAGCACTCCAGAGTCTCATATTCTCTGCATATTCATCAGTTGTGGGTCTCTATGTTTGCTACTGTGTTAATTATCTACTGCTCAAAGAAGCTCCTCTAATGAGTGTTGAGAGATCCACTAATCTATGGATAAGAACTATGCCCATTTAGTAGAATAATAGTATTAGGGTCTTCTCTACTCCCTATGACCTAGCCTGCCACAGGTTTTTTTTAATCTCCAGCTAACAAACAGTACTAAGCTTCATGAATTATGAACCAAACATGAATTCTGTCTTGTGATCAGGCATCAAATACAATCATAAAGTGATTGATTGCTCTCCAAACTTTTGTGCAACTAATGCTCCAGTGGGCATGTCTTGCTAGGTCAGGTACTCTAGCTCACAGGGTTCTCAAAAGGATAAGAGTATTTAATACTTTTCTCCTTTGGTATTGAAAATAGAGCCTTCTAGCACCATGAAAGTTAACCAATAGGGATAAATCTGATTTCTCTGCGGTCTGTGACCCAGACATGTGTTATCTTCAGCAACAGGGTCAGACAATGCAGTTCTAGAGGATAACCAAAAACAACAGCAATAGCCTGTAGAAGTTTTTGGAGGGAGGGGTCTGTGACCCCAGTGATAAAGAACTCCAAAAGATGTAACCTGTACATTGTACTTGGCTTTTTATTTGGAAACCTGTGGTGTTTGAGAGACTCATTGTTCTTCCATTACAGGATAACTCCATTTAAACTCCCTTTCTATATTTATATGTGTATATTTTGGGAAACATCTACAGTAGTAGGGTTTTATATGGCATTTCCAAAGGCCTTAAGTATTAGTCATCCATCCCCATACTCCCCATTTCTACTCTGTCTTCTTTTCTTCATTCCACTTAACCCATTTGTACCATTATTACCATTCCATCTTCATTCTCTTCCCCTTTCTTAATCTCCAAATTCTTACCTATCCTTTAAAACTCTGAAACTTTCTCTTGATTTCTTGGCTGCTGTTAATGTATTCTCATTGAACCAACAAATGCAAGTATTAAACTCTCCATTATTGTTGTCACCTTTCAGTGTATGAATGTTCCTTGGTTTGTGTTGGAATTATGACCAATAAGCTTATTCTAAGTAGAAAATATCATTGAGTTCAAAATGCATTAAATGTACAACACCTAATGAGCATCATAGCTCAGCAACCCCCACATATCATGGAGGAATGGTGGCTTGGTTTCTTTCTTGACTGCATCATGAAACTGGAGTGATGGTTCAGTGCCACTGCCCAGCACAGTCAGAGTTGCATACAACATAAGACCATCCTTGGAAAGACCTCAAATCAAAACTTAGATCAAGACTTCTACAATATGAGAAATGCTTTTGTACTGTTTCAAAAACTGCAAAAACTTTGAGAGCCACAGTAAGCCAGGACATACCTGTACTATGAAGTGGGTTCTTTTAGTGCTATGGTATTCTATCAGTTAGAGGCAGGGCTCTGGAGTGCAATTTCTCACTGTGTGATCTTAATTAGTAATTTGTGTTCTACTATTTGAACTTTGGTGCCTCACCTGTGAACTGGGAGGCACTAACCTCTTTGCTGCATACTTTTAAGTGCTGTCTTATCAGAGTGTTTGATGTAAAAGAAGCACCCAATATGTACTGGTTGCTATGGCAGCCACAATGTTGCTGATGATTACAAGAAAAGTGACAATAGCATTGCACAATTGTTTTCCTTTCCAGTACCAGAACACTGTCCATGGACCTTAGGCACATCAAGCACACTGTAACTCCTCATTTTACCTTGGTCAAACTTTTGACCTTAATTATCAAGTTCACTAAAATGACAGAATAGGAAAATACCTTGATTCCACCTCAACTCTTCTCATCAGAGTTTCTGCTTGGGTTTCTCATTCATTCTCAATAGACAACTAAAATAGACTCGCACCTGGAATTTTGTAATTGGTTCCTTACTATCTTTAAGTCCATATAATCTACCCTTTCCATGTAGACAGCATGACCCTTTGAAGCAATAAGGTAATCGGTCTGCTCCTTTACTGATTCTTGTAGCCCTCCATGATGCCTTAGGGGGTAACACACAAGCTTTCTTATTTAAATGGGACCTCTGAAGACTTTATACACCCCTTATCTATAGACAGCTACAACTAATAGAGCACACTGTGGACCCCCATGCCCTTGGAAGATATTAGGGCCCAGGAACACAGAAGACTTTGCTCTTCCTCTCCCTTCAACATCCTTTTCCTATAAAGACTTGACTCAGTTTTAGAGAACCACTAACATGCCATATTCCTTCTGCAGTTCCACCAAACACTAGAGTCCCAAACACTAGAGTCATCTTTCAAGTGTCATCTCATCCAAGCCTGCCTCAGGAAGATGAAAAACCATGCCTCACTGCAGCTACAGCAGCACCCTGTCTCTTTCCCTAGTGACCAAGTGCATGAGGAAAGGTGAGACTCCTTCATCTTAGATGAGGAGGCTATCAAGGGAATGGGCTGAATTCCTCTCTAGGAGGAGGAACTGGGTAACAATCTGAACAGTATTCCAGTGCTAAGGGAGGCAAAGCTTGGAATGAAAGTTTTCCTTTCCATTTTTTTTCAGATAATCAGCATCAAATGAAAGATTACAGAAAAAAGAGGCACCAAGCCTACAGTCATGTTGATTTATTTGTATTGCCACTTTAATTATGAATTATTAATTATCAAACAAACAGCTGAAGTGCGGGTAGATTCCAAACCACCCAAGTCATTGGCAGGAAAGAATTACAGCTACAGTTCAGTTCTGACAACTCTGCAGCCTGCAGTTTCACACTGCTGAGACCTCACAGGGAAGACTTTTCAAGGAGAAGCCATAAGTAACCAGCAGAACATTTGAGCTCTTGAGGGAATCCACATTAGCAAATAAATAAAAATTGCTTAGCTTATAAATCTGCCATATTGGGGGTTATTTCTGCATTAGGAATTGCCCTGAAATTTCAGTGCACATATTTTACCAAAATACACATAGAAAAAAAAACCCAATGCACTTTCCAACAGTACTGTATGCTCTGGAGAAAATGGTTCTACCTGGTTTTCTGTATTTTCTAGCTTGTTAAAAAAATAGGTCTGGGCATTGAAATGTCAGTATGTGTTTTCTCATTCCTATAAAGCAACAACTTCTATACAGCTTCCAAATATTCTCAAAATAATATCTGCTTTAGCCAGAAGTGCTAGGCCATCTTAAGTCCTCTTTATGAAGACCCTAGAGTCTCTCTGGAAGGAACACAGACAGAGCCTGGGCAAGCACAGTTGTATTCATGTGTAGTGACTTAATAAGCCAATCCATGATACCTTGGGCTGGGACTCCCAGCACAGTACCCACTATAGAGGTGCCATTTTTACTGTCATGGTGTTTCTTGTGCTAGTTTAAAGGCTGCAGGGAAATGGGGTGGTAACTTAATGTGGTCTCTGCATTCTCCAGGTGACTAGTTAATGTCACTCATTAGGAACAAGCTTCCTAGAGTGGATGGCCAAAGCAAGCCAGATTTGCCACTCTGCCAAGCAACTCTATCTATCATTCCCAGTGACCCAGGGGGATTCTGTCATTTTCCCAAAGGAAGAACGATCAACTCCATTACAAGTACATAGATATTCTCAATAAGACAGGAAGAGAATAATTTGGAAGGAAGGAAGTCTCAGTTATGAAACCCTTGGTAGCCAATATTAGTGTCTAACTACTTGTTCAAATGGCTTTACTCTTGAATGGTTGCATTGACTCCTGAAAATTATAAAAT